GCCAGCCCTCAAGCATCACTTACAGGACCAGAGGTGAGCATGGGGATTCTTGGGTACTTTTCTTTGAAGGACTAGACCTCTGCTTTATTTGTGAAAGGGGGTCAAGGTGGGGACAGCAGAAGTCAATTTTTTGAGTGTTGATGTAGGGACAAGACATGACTGTGATGAGAAGCTGCTTTTGCCAATTTAACACCAAGAAGAATTGAGGCTGCTTGGGAGGAAGGCCGGGAGGAACGCGAGACTGAGAGATGAATTTTCAACAGAGGCTGCAAAGCCTGTGGAGTTTAGCCAGGTGCGGTGGCTCGTGCCTGTAATCCCAACACTTTGGGAGGCTGAGGTGGGCAGATAATTTAAGGTCAAGAGCTCGAGACCATCCTGGACAGCATGGTGAAACCCTGTCTCTACTAAAAATAAAAATAAAAAAATTAGCTGGGCATGTGTTTTCGATATTTTCAGATACAAAAATCCCAGCTACTTGGGAGACTGAGGCATAAGCATCACTTGAACCTGGTAGGCAGAGGTTGCAGTGAGCCGAGATCATGCCACTTGACTCCAGCCTGGGTGACAGAGTGAAATCCTGTCAAAAAGAGAGAGAGAAAAAAAAAAGCCTGTGGACTTTGAAAGAACAGAATGAAAAGACATTGTGAGAGATGCTGAAGCATAGCCCCTGTGCCCCGTGACCATAACCCAGGGGTCGCTGCCTCCCTAGCCCAGCAGAACTGGGTCTTCTCTGGTCTTCCTCCTGGTGTAGGGGTGGGAGGCAGTTTCTTTAGGTGTCAGACCAGTGCCTGGAGTAAGAAAGGTTCTTAAATGATTGTGTAAAGAAGCACAAAAGAAAGGGAGAAAGTGAGAAAGGGAGGGAGCCAGAAAGCAAGGAAGGAAGGAAGAAAGAAAGGTAAGGAGGGAGGGAGGGAAAGGGAGGGAAAGAGCAAAGGGCAAAGAAGGCAGGTGGAAAGACATTCTCTGCATCGGTTATAATAAATACATAATGGCGTTAGGTACCCCAGCTTGGAGGTTCTGCACACAGTCCTTCCCAACCGGCACTTCAGAGGAAGGCTTTAGAGATGATTCATTGGGAAATCTGATGCCTCTCTCTTATTTGGTTAAAAAAAAAAAAAAAGTGAATTCTTAGACTCAAGAATGAGTGGTTAGTGGAGGTGGCAGACTCTGTGTATGACCCTGACCTGCCCTCTGTGTCCCTCCCTGGGACCAGGATTAACCCCTTGCTCCCTTGTGATGAGGAGTGAGGGACAGCCGTCTCCTGGGGAGGAGAAAAAGACCTGCTGTCTATGTGTGCCTAGTGACTTCAGGGCAGAACTTGGACAAGCACATGTCTAGTTCAGCTCTTTGTTTTCCTAGGTTTGGGCTCCCCAGATGAGGCACATTAGAACCTCCCATTTCTCCACTCTTCTGGGTCAAATTCTGACTTGTAGGTTGGAGGCTAGAGAGAACTGCGATGGAGAAGGAGGAGGTGCAGGGCGTGCGGGTGTGGATGGGCAAGGTGGGGAAGAGCAGGTGGACTGATGGTAAGACCAGCAGCTTTAAGTCTGAGGGGCAGGAAGACCCCTGCTTCACCCTCAGTGCACCCTAGCAAGGCTGCCGGTTTGCAATAGTCTCAACTTTCCCATTGGAGAGCCCCCAGGATTGGCCTGGGGACACTCTCAAAGCATTTTCCCAGGGTATGTCACTCTGGGTCACAGGGCCGGCCTCACAGGCTGCCTCCCTTTCTTTCAGCAGACCCTTCTGCCCTCCTTTGCTGGCAACGGTCTCCCAAATGCAGATGGCTGTGCTCCCTTGCCTGGGTCTTATCCTGCTTCTCTGGAGCCAGGTGCCAGGGGTCCAGGGCCAAGAATTCCAATTTGGGCCCTGCCAAGTGAAGGGGGTTGTTCCCCAGAAACTGTGGGAAGCCTTCTGGGCTGTGAAAGACACTGTGGTGAGTAAAGAGCTGTTCTGGACTCAGCTGTGGGGGTTCCTAGGGGCAGTGGGCCGGTGGGGTGAGGGGGGAAGCTATTTTATGATTCTTGAGTCCTTCGCAGCTTCCTAATCAGTTTCCAGTTTCCCATGTGATAACTCTGTGAGGTCAGAAGGCACCACAAGCCCCATTTACACATGAGGAAATTGGGGCTCAGAAAAAATGTGAGCAGAAAAAATTGGGGCTCTGTGAAATAAACAGAGCCCAAGGGAAACCATGAAGAGAGCTAGATTCATCCAGGCTTCATCCCGAATGGAGTCTTCGGCTCTAAATCTGAGAACTGGAATGAGTGGCTGGGCTGTGGAGGAAGCTCCAAGGGCAAGAGAGGCAGTTCTGGCATACAGGCTGTCCTCCCCCACATCCTGCTTCCTCGCCATGTGCAATATGGAGCCCAAATCCTGCCCGTAGTGGTTCTCAAAGCAGATAGGCTTATTTCCTCCCATGTCAAATGACCAGAGGCATCAAACCACTTCCTTATCAAATCTGTGTTCAGGCTCTAAGAATAAGAAGAACTCCTGGGACTCCATTTGCTCCTGGGGGGCCAAGCTTAGTTATTTTCATGGCTGCAACCTTGTCTCCCCTCCCCATGGGCCAGTTCAGCCCAGCCCTTCCTGGGTCCTCCTTTGGTCCCTCTGGCCTTGGAGATCTCATAGACTGGATAGATGTAGGGGTCTAGGGAAGCAGCACATATTTGCAGAGTTGGTTTCTATGCTGATCCCTAACATGGAGACGTCTTTTCTTTCTGTTTGCAAAGCAATCTCAGGATAACATCAGGAGTGTCCGGCTGCTGCAGCAAGAGGTTCTGCAGAATGTCTCGGTAATCAGACCTCGGGGACACCACCCTCTGTGCGTCTGGTCTACTGTGTGTGGGTGGGAGTGCAAGGTTTTCTTAGGGGAGGTTGATGAAAGCCCTTCACTTCTTCCCTGGACTGACCTTACACAGGACAGGGCTAGGCTGTGAGCCAGGGAAGTCAGTGTCTGGGGTTACTGCTATGTGGTATGTGTGTGCAGTGGTACTGGGAGATGGAGAGGGTGGAGGCTTGTAAACATCTTTCTCCATTTAGCCAGAGAATTATATATTTCTCTTTTACTTCTGTAGGCCCAATGGGCATCTACTCAGGTTCATATCCCCTCTTCCATTTTCATGCTTTTCTCTGTGTCCATTTTCCTGGGTCCTCCTTTGGTCTTTCTGGCTTTTGGTATCTCACAGACTGGATAGATTTAGGGGTCTAGGGAAGCAGCACATATTTGCAGAGATGGTTTCTATGCTGACCCCTAACCCAGAGACAACTTTTCTTTCTTTTTGCGAAGTGAGCTCATGACTTAAAATAATACCTAACAAAAGGATTCATCCTTTCTTTCATCACGATCAGGTAGAGTATGTTATCAAGGATGGGTCACCATCTTCTCATCACCCATCTAATGAGCACAAACCTGCTGAGCCCTGAGCCCTGAGCCCTGAGCCCTGAAAGATGTGGCACTTCAGGAGCTTGAGGGGGTTAGAGTGCAATTGCTGTGTCCAAAGATATTAGTTTCTCCTCATTTCTTCTGTTCTCAGTCATTTTCTAGCCAACTCTCTATCACCAAGTCCAAGTTCAAGCCCTTTTCAGGGCCCATCACATCCCCAAAGCTGTTAAAGAGACCATGTGGCATAGAAGAAAGAGAATATTAACCAGATGGGCAGTCAGGAATCCTGAGAGCTAGGCTGTGTCTGCCACTGACTGACTGTGTGACCTGGGGCAGGTCATTTATCTCCCTGGGTCTTGGTTCCTCCTGTCAAACAAAGATGCTGCTCTCCATGGCCCCTGAAGGCTCCTACAGATCTTAGGTTCATCATCACCTCCTAGAAGATCCCTATCTCTGCTGTGCTTATCTTGCCTTGGGTGGCATGTGGGTTGTTCCTTCAGGGGGTCAGGGTGGCCAGAGGCCTTGGCTCAGCAGTGACCCCGACCTTCCCCAGGATGCTGAGAGCTGTTACCTTGTCCACACCCTGCTGGAGTTCTACTTGAAAACTGTTTTCAAAAACTACCACAATAGAACAGTTGAAGTCAGGACTCTGAAGTCATTCTCTACTCTGGCCAACAACTTTGTTCTCATCGCGTCACAACTGCAACCCAGTGTGAGTAGCACAGGCTCTGGATACTGGCAACTCTGGGTTCAAGTCTAGGTCTGCTTCCAGTCTGCTGGGTGGCCCTCTGCAAAGTCCTCCACTTTCCTGGGCTTCAGTTTGTTATCTGTAAAATGGGGATGACCACTCCTGCCTGGCAGGATTGCTGCGAGAATTAAAGGAGGCAGCCCCTTTCACAAGGTGGGAGTTTGGAATTGGCTACCTTGGAGGTGCAGGATTCAGCCTTGGGCTCTCAGGCTTTTGGGAAAAGTGAGAGGGAAAAGTGAGAGGGAGCTTGCATCTGCTCCTACCTAAAACTTGGCACAACTTCTTTTCCCATGTTATGCAGCAGGAAAATGAGATGTTTTCCATCAGAGACAGTGCACACAGGCGGTTTCTGCTATTCCGGAGAGCATTCAAACAGGTAAGGCCAAGAGCTGAGAGCTTGCCCATCCAGTAGAATAGACTATTCTGAACCATCACATGAGGGCGCCTCAGAGACCCAATGCAGAATGTAATGCAGGGGACGCATCAGCTTTGCCCCAAAGCCCCCTGACTTAGCACGAGCACAGGTATATTTGCAGAAGCATCATAAACTAAGTGGTCTTTTTTCTTCCAGTTTTCAAGTTAAAGTGCTTTTATATTTTCCTACAAGATGATTTTGCTAGAGGAAATTTCCCTGTGTTTTGTGGGTACTTGAGCTGGGCAACTGAAGTCAGAAGAGAGGGAGACACCTCACCCCTACCCCATATTTTCCATGTATTTTCCATGATGCTCAACTGGTCTAGTTGTGAAAAACAATTACGGGAAATTATATTTGCTTTTCCAAAATTATGACAACAAAGAAAAATATTTGCTTTTCCAAAATTATGACAACAAAGAAAACCCAAATATCATTCCCAGCTCCCCTCAGAACATAAATGATTTTGATCACTTTTTATTTGAGGAAGAGATGCATCAGCCTATAAATAAATGGTGAAGAGCAATAACATCTGATGGAGACTGGCCACCTGGGCTCATTTCACCTGTGCAGTGAATTCAGGTGGTGGGACACATCCACCTTATACTGGAGTTTGTGGTTCCTGTTGTTAGGCGTGCCATGTGCCTTTTCCTTGTTCCTTGCCCACTGATACTCACTAGCCTGTTTGTCCTCACCCCTGAAGCAGACAAACACATGTAGATGGAGGAAAAGTGACAAGCAGGTGAGCTCATCAGAGGCCATCCCAAAGGTGACCCATCCCATGGATTGGAGTCAGGTCTATTTTAGCCATGGCGGGTTAGAAGAAAGACTATTCTCATAGCTAACATGGTTGACCTTCAACCCTCTTTTCCCTTTAGTTGGACATAGAAGCAGCTCTTACCAAAGCCCTTGGGGAAGTGGACATTCTTCTGACCTGGATGCAGCAATTCTACAAGCTCTGAATGTCTAGATCAGGACCCCCTTTCCCCCACTGGTTCATTCCCTGTGTCATTTCAAACAGTCTCCCTTCCTATGCTGTTCACTGGACACTTCATACCCTTGGCCATGGGTCCCATTTTTGGCCCAGGATTATTGTCAAAGAAGTCATTCTTTAAGCAGCCCCAGTGACAGTCAGGGAAGGTGCCTCTGGATGCTGTGAAGAGTCTACAAAGAAGATTCCTGTATTTATTACAACTCTATTTAATTAATGTCAGTATTTCAACTGAAGTTCTATTTATTTGTGAGACTGTAAGTTACATGAAGGCAGCAGAATATTGTGCCCCATGCTTCTTTACCCCTCACAATCCTTGCCACAATGTGGGGCAGTGGATGGGTGCTCAGTAAGTACTTAATAAACTGTGGTGGTTTTTTTGGTCTGTCTTTGGATTGTTAAAAAACAGAGAGGGATGATGGCATGTAAAACTGAACTTTAGAGTGTGAAAATCACACTGTCTTCTGATATCTGCAGGGACAGAGCATTGGGGTGGGGGTAAGGTGCATCGGTTTGAAAAGCAAATGATAAAATGTGGATTAAAGTGCCCAGTACAAAGCAGATCCTCACTAAACATTTCATTTCCCACCCACACTCACCAACCCACCCCATCATCCCTTTCCCTTGGTGCCCTCCTTTTTTTTTTTTGTCCTAGTCATTCTTCCCTAATGTGCCACTTGAGTGTCAAGCTGACCTTGCTGATGGTGACATTGCACTTGGATGTACCATCCAATCTGTGATGACATTCCCTGCTAATAAAAGACAACACAACTCAAGTCTGGCAGCCTTTCTTCTCTATTTCTGGATGAATGCCCAGTGAGACTGTGCAGTATAGCCAGAAGAGGCCTTCTTCCCAGCAGCAAAGCTCGGCATCTAGCCTCAAGCTCTGGCTGAACTTTGTGGTCGACATCAATCTAAAGATATAATGTCTGACTATGACCTTGTTCCAAAAACTTAGACAAATAGTATATGTAGGAGGTGGGATATCTCTTCTTCCATGACATAAGTGCTACCCAGGAATTTCTTATTGCTTTCCTTCCCCACATTGTCTGGAACTGCCTAAGAAATGGGCAACATTTGTGAAAGCCAAGAAATGTAATAGTTTTGGATGACTAAAATAGATAAAAGTTAAGGTAAGTGCACAAACATCAGTGTCAGGCTATGGAAGAAAGATAAAGAGATGACAAATACTTTTTTTTTTGAGGAGAGATGCTGAGGTCAGGGCACTTACGTGCATCAAGTGATGGAGACAAAGTAAAGAGAGTTTATGGATATATATGCATATCTCGCTAACAAGCTTGGTTCTGAAATTTAGAATACCTCATCACATCAAGATAAATTGCCTTTAGCATAGAACTTGAGATAAGTAGAGGTTCACTAGAAGTGCTAACTTTTGGATCAGGGCAAAGGCGTTTCCGGGAGTGTTTTTATACTAGACCCCTGCCTAGTCCTTGGGGCTGAGGCATGTCCACATAATTCAGAGCAACAGCCTTCTACTTGTGTAAGACCCAAGCATGGGAAGGATGCCCAAGACAATAGCTATGCCTCTGCCCCAGCCTGATGCCATGTGGTCTAGAGTCTGGGCAGCAACAACCCTGTGGTCAAAGACATGGAAGAAATGCTCTGCAAATCCCACAGCCTGTTAGATTGGAAAAGAAGCAAGTGGCATTGGGACAATTGCTCTGCATGCCTACAGCTTACCTGTCAACTACAGGAGGCTGCCAAGGTGTGCAAGAGGACCTGAGGGCAGAGCCATGCTCAGGGCACAGATAGACGGGGATGGGAGTCAAGATGGGGCATGGGAAGTGATGAGGGCTCTAAGAACACATGAAGCAGGTATTGGATATCAGCAGACAGATGAGACTCCTTGGCACCACAGTCTGAGCCTGGGGTCGGGGGACAGCTGGGGAGTTGTCAGGCAGGAACATTGATGTAGTCATCTGAATTACTGTCCTCCATCTTGGCGGCAGGCTGGTGGTAGAGACTCACATATTCACAGCTGCTCTTCAGAGATGGGGCATGGAACCAGGGAGATTCAGACACCTGGGGACAATGAAAGAAGCATCACTGGATCTGGGTAGGGAGATTTTAATATCTCCCCAGGTGGATTTTCATAGTGGGCAATGGAGCATGGGCATGGCTGCTGAGTTCCAGAAGGCAAAGACACAGAGATGGCTCAGCTCCATCAAGTGGAGCAGCCCTGGGGATTTTCAGGGTAGTGCCTCACCCGAGATAACTGGAAAACACTGAGACCTAACGTGGGCAGGAAATGCCTTAAATAGGGCTCAGAGTAAAATCATGTGGCTAAGCATGGGCCTGAAAGAGATCCAGCTGCCAGAGAAGTATCCCCTCGGGGATAAGATGCTGTGACTTATGGAATAAATATGCATCTTCTTAGGGAGTTATTCAGAAATAGAGTGAGTCACCCTCAGCACCTCTGTAAGGGCTCAGAGATGCTGTGATGTGGGGTCGTGACAGTGCATTCAGGAAGGGGATGGGTGGTGAAGGGGATAAGATGGCAGCCCACAGGGCACACTGGTGCTCCTTTTCCCCAGAGGGAAACTTCAGGATCATCCACCTTGAGGATGGTCAGTTCTTAGAGGACAGAACTGTGCCAATGACCCCCACATGGCATAGTTACTATTGCATCCACTGAAGAAGGCCACAAGGGGGACGGTAATGTATTTAAACACAAGCTCTGAGAATTAGACTTCCAGCAGCCTGAATATAGTAGGCATTCAGGAAGCACTCATTGAAAGAAACTTTTATATATTTTGTACTTTACTAAAGAGGGAAGCAGCAGCAGCAGCTTGCTTTGAAAATACGTCTTCCATCAGTCAAGGAAGTAGGAAGTCACAAAACAGAAAAGAAGAAAAAAGAGAAGGTTGAAAAGAAAAGTAACAGTGAGAGCAAAGAAAACTAAGAAACAAAATTAGATGGTCCTGGTGTAAATGTCAGTGAGGATGAAACTCAGTCAAGTAATCAATGAAAGAGCTAAAAAGCACACATGGGTAGCACTCCTAAAACTTAGATGATGTAAGACTGGTCAAGAAAGGCCTGGATCCCAGAACAGCTCAAGATGTCAACCTGAAGCAAATTAACCAGCACATAACAATAGGAGAAATGATACATGAAGTTGGAGGTGACACAGAGTAAAAAGAGAGATGATCAAGATGAAGTTTCCAGGGTGAGAAGGAAGGCAGTAATATCCGAGCTTCCTTTAGAGGCCAAAGAAGAGGCTGAGGATGGGGAAGAAGATGAGGCTGAGGATGGGGAAGAGGATGAGGCAGAGGGAATCCTCGATGTATGACATGGTTTTTTGTTTTTGTTAAATTAAATGAACTTTGAAAAAAGTGAGCAAACCCTTTGTTAATTTCTCACACTATCTCTTCTATTATGTTTTAACTAACTTTCTTTGTCTGATAATAGAGATGGTTTTAGATTTGCTTAAAAAAAACCCAAAAATTTATCTTTCACTGCCTGTTATAGTTCATAATTTGAGATTAACTTATTTGGCTTAAGAAATGGAAACGCTCCCCATTATTAAAGGCTATAATAATGAGTCACTAAGCATAGGCACCTTGTTGTAAATTTGTTCCATCAAGTTTTTTGCCCCTAATAGTGGGAATGAGAGTTTCAAGTAAAAAGGCAGGGTCAGCTTGGAACAAAGTGCAGGCCCAGGTGAGGGTCTGTGTGGTCATAGGGCAGTTTTAGAGAAAAGAGCTGCTGGAAAGATGGAGTAGACAGACAGTGTCGCGCCTGTCTGTCCCTCGGACTGGTTGCTGCACCATCCTCTGGAGTCTTGCCCGCTCAACGGTCAGTACATAGGTACTAGGACCGTGCGCACATATTTCTGAAGCAAGCTGCTGCTGCTTCCCTCTTTAGTAAAGTACAAAATATACCGAAGTTCCTTTCAATGAGTACTTACTGAATGCCTACTACGTTCAGGCTGCTGAACACTGCCATGCAGGTGTGAACCTTCTCTAGCGGGAGTGGGGAAGGGCAAGTTGGAGAAGCCGGAGGGGACTGCACAGAACTGCCTCTTGTTGCTGGGTACTACTGTTCCCTTTGTAGCCACGCCCACGATTGACCAGCTGGGGATTAAATTTCTCAGCCTGCCTGAAGGGAGGGTCACTACATGGTTAAATTTCAGCCTGTAGGATGCAAGTGGAAATGGTGGGAAACGTCAGGGTCATGGGCTTAAGAAGCAGCATTCTCTTCCTCTCTCCTGTAAGCTGGGACGTGCACACGGTCCTGGTGCCTAAGTACTGGCCATGGAGCTGATAAGACTCCAGAGGATGGTGCAGCAACCAGACGGAGGGAATTTCAGTCCCGAGACGACCTCTTGGCTCACTGGCTCGGGCCACCTCTTCCTGTCCCTTTGTCTCTGAGCCTTTACTTGGGGAGGGGGAAGTAGGCTTCCACCGTGTGGGCCCTATCTTTTGGAGTCTGTGCTGCATTAGCTTAGTCTACGCTCGAATTAAAACAGGGATTTTCTTTTCCCAGGCGGCTGCCGAAGATGGCGGAAGTGCAGGTCCTGGTGCCTGATGGTCGAGGCCATCTCCTGGAACCCCTGGCGGCCATCATGGCTAACTAGGTACTGTTGGGCCGGAAAGTGGTGGTCGTACGCTGCGAGGGCATCAACATTTCTGGCAATTTCTACAGAAACAAGTTGAAGTACTTGGCTTTCCCCTGTAAGTGGATGAACACCAACCCTTCCCGAGGCCCTTTCCACTTTCCGGCCCCCAGTCGCATCTTCTGGCAGACCATGCAAGGCTTGCTGCCCCAGGAGACCAAGTGAGGCCAGGCCGCTCCGGACCGCCTCAAGGTGTTTGACGGCGTCCCACCACCCCACGACAAGAAAAAGCGGATGGTGGTTCCTGCTGCCCTCAAGGTCGTGCGTCTGAAGCTCACAAGAAAGTTTGCCTATCTGGGGCGCCTGGCTCACGAGGTTGGCTGGAAGTACCAGACAATGACAGCCACGCTGGAGGAGAAGAGGAAGGAGAAGGTCAAGATTCACTACGGAAGAAGAAACAGCTCATGAAGCTGCGGAAACAGGCCGAGAACGTGGAGAAGAAAACTGACACACAGTGGTCAAGACCCACAGACTCCTGGTCTGAGCCCAATAAAGACAGTTAATTCTTCATGCTTGGCCTGGCCTGCCCTTCCTCCATCGTGGCCCTGGAATGTGCGGGACCCAGGGGCAGCAGCAGTCCAGGTGCCACAGGCAGCCTGGGACATAGGAAGCTGGAAGCAAGGAAAGGGGGCTTAGTCACTGCTTTCTGAGGTTACTTGAAAGCACGCGGAGAATTGTGCAGGTGTCATATATCTATGACCAATAGGAAGAGCAACCAGTTACTATTAGCAAAAGGGAGCCGGAAGACTAATTGGAGGGGCCCTACCTTGTGAGTGGAGCATCTGTTTAACTTTCCACCTGGTCATATAACTCTGCAGCTGTTAGAATGTGCAAGCGCTTGGGGACAACACGAGCTTGCTGTTGTACGATGGGTATTTACAGCAGCATAGACTGGGAAGATGTGCGACCAAGGGGTTACAGGCATTGCCCGTGCTCCTCACCTGTATTTTGTAATCAGAATCAAATAAATTATTTTTAAAGAAAAAAAAAAAAACAGGGATTTTACCACACCCTTTTAAAAAAAACTTTATTCTGGGTTCTGCGTGTTTTGGACACTGTAGGCTGCTTTAGAGAATAAAAAGCTTTCTCATCTCAATTCTTAAACAAAGATGAATGGACAAAGGCTTTCCACCCAACCATCAGTGGCCATGAATGGAAACGCGAGTTTCCGTCCAGTCTAGATTTAAAGATGAATCCTCCTCACTCAATGTGTTGAACCTTGTCTACATCTCTCCCAAGTCTCCTCTAGACCAGGCCTAACCGCCTCCAGTGAAGGGTAAATTACTTCCTCTCACCTTCGAAAGTTTACTAGAAAGTTCTCGCGCACAGGAAGGTGAAACTGTCTAGGTAGCTTCCACCTCCCTAGGACCTCCTAGAAATCTAATCTCCTCCACTAGAAAGCCTTTCACAGAACTGTGGAGCTAAGCCAGCGGCATCCAGCACGCACGTATCCCATGACAACTGCTTGGCTAGAAGCCACGGAACCAGGTCTTCCACAGTTCCCGGTATTCAACCTCCTGACACCAAAGAAAGACGAAACTAAAACAACTTGTTGGGCTCAGGGCCCAGGAGCTGCTGGGAAACCCGCTCTCCGGATCGCGGGGGCGGCGCGGGAAGCCGCACTCGGGTCCCACCCCAGGGCTGGGGCCGCCCAGTCGGGCTGCGGCTGCCAATCCCAGAAGGAGCAGAGCTTACCTGCAGCGGGGCGGGGGGCAACGGCGCTCCGGGGCCTGGAACGGGGGCCTCTCCCTTGCCTAGGGAACAGCGAGGGCGGGGTGAGGCGGTGGCCGAGGCTCTCGCCCCACTCTCGTGCTACCGACCCCAGCTCCACCCTGCGGGAAGCCCTGACACTAGGAGCGTGCCCCGAGGCGCCCGGCCTTCCCGGTGCCAGCGCACTCTTTCCGCTTCTCCCCGTGGCCCGCCCGGCCGCTCACCTGCAGCGTCCGCCCCACGAGCGCGCCGCGGGCAGGCGCTGTAGATATTGTTTTGGGAGCGCGGTCGCGGCGACCCGCGAGTCCTCTGGGAGCTCTCCAGTACGCGCATCATCACGGCCAGTCGGCGGGCCCGCCTGGAGAGGGCTTCCCCGCAAAGTCACAGGAAGAGGGAGGAAAATGGCATCAGAGGCCCGTGCCACCTTCCCCAAACGAAAGGCTGCCTCCTCCCTCGGGCTTGGCAGTGTCTGACCTGGAGATGCTCCAAGCGTGGGGAATGTACGAGGCACCACCTCGCCCTGCCCTGAAGACCAAAGGGCCCAGGGCGCTGTCCTCCTCAGACCAGTGGCCTCCACTTCCCTACACCCCAGGCTGCTCATCAAAAGCTCTCTGAGTTTCCCATGGAAGTTCAAAAGAGGGTTCCGAATGCTCTGGGCTCTTTGGGCAGCTCAGCTCTCCCTCCCCAAGCCCCCAGCCCAGCCACTCACCTTTCCTCCTTTCAACAGCGCTTTTCACCACCAGCCCCAGAAGTGCCAGCAGGAAAAGGCCCAGGATGGTCGAGATCAGAATGTGAAATCCTTGGCCTTCCCTCCCAGACCGTGAGCCATAGTCCAATGTTCTGGGGAGGGAAGGAAAGGTAGAGAGGGAGGAAGAGATTATTAAAGGAGGTAGGTTCAGGGCGTGCTTCTGTGTGGCCAGCGTTTTTGGAGATGACTTACAGATTTGTCCTTTTGTTAACAGAATTCACTCCACTCCCCGCTCAAAAAGACTTGCCTATGGAGTCACGAAACTTGAATTCAAATTCATATTATGCCTTTTACTGGTTGTGTGATCTTGAATGAGTCTCCTAATCTCTCTGAGCCTTATCTCTTCGTAAATAGGTATAGTAAAATCTATTTTGCAGAACTGTTATGAGGATGAAATAAGAGTGGATATAAGGAATTTAACGCACCTTCCAATGTTCAGCACGTCAGTTTCTTCACGAGATTATTGCAGATATTGACTGGGCTAGTTCCTTATAATGGTGGGGAAAAGGATGTTTTTCTCATAGTGCTCCTTCTGCCTAGAAATTCTCCCCTCAATTTTCTCTACATATTGAAATCTTACTTTTCTTAAAAGACGTTGTGTAAGTCCTCTTTTCTTCCTAATTGTGGTAAGCCAGACTGTGTGTGTGTGTGTGTGTGTGTGTGCTTTGGGTTTCCAATTCTGTGGTCATGGCTGTTTCAGGCTTTATCACAGTCAGACTTATGTTAGTAAGATCTGGATATTGCATACTGTCATCTTCTTGTATCTTCAGGACATAGCACAATGCCCGCCACATAGTAGAGAGTAAGAAAATGCTGGTTGGACTTGATGTTTTCCCTACTAATAGGTTAGGAATCAGGAGTCCTGGTTCTATTTGAAACCACTTGGTTCTCATGACCCCAGTTTCTCATACCTATAGAGCCCAAATGATTTTGGAGGTCCTGTTTCTCACTAACACCTTTGTCTTTGCTTATGCAAAACCAGTTTTGATTATTGTAGGGGTTGTTTTTTTTTTTTTTTTTTTTTTTTTTTTTTGAGTCTGCTATAATGCTTCCCCCTAGTGGTATATTGCAGTACTTCCCTGGACTGCACCCCAGCCTTTAGACCAGTGCTGTCCAGGAGACATGTGAGTCACATATGTAATTTTAAATTTCCTAGTAGCCACATTAAAACAGTAAAAGGAAATGAGTGAAAGTAATTTTATATTACTAGTTTAATAGTTAAGTTTATTTTTATTCTCATTTAGTTCTTCCCCATCAAAATAGATTTGAATGAATCTGAGTGACAGGAAGAGCTGGGTCTCACTAGTTGCTACAGGATCAATGCTGGGGCATTGACAAATGTGTTTTTGTTAAAAGAGCTAATGAGTTAATGAGCTATATTCATAGGTGGTATATTTCACAGTGGCCTAGAGACAAAGCCAAGGAGGGTGTCTAATAATGGGCATTGCAGTGGGTTTCAGTGGATCTCCTAATTCCAGCCTACATCTAGATCCTGGACAGTGTTCTCTTACCTCTGCCTGTGCAGCCTGGTGTGGTGGTTGTAGCTGGCTGTCCGAGGCTTGAGCAGCTTCTCCAGAGCTGAGATCTTTGAGGCTGTAGTGGATGGCAGGAAGGTTGGGGGCTCGTCACCTACTACTGAAGATGCTCTGGACACTCGAGGGTGGTGGGTGATTTGGGTGGTGGGGGAGGAGTGGTGGACTGGAGGAACCTTGGTCCTTTGAGCTGGTGTGGTAACTGCAGGAGGTAGCAGGAAAAAAATGATGTTCCTTTTATATACTCTATTCTCCAACAGGATTAGGTCACCACTTCTTTCCACAACATACCCTTCCCTTTTATGCAGACTACTTTTGTTCTTGCAGTCCTCGTGGCCTAAAATCCTTCTTAACATGCTATCCAGGCCTAGTCAATTCCAAGTATATTTGCTTCAAATACCATTTCTTCCAGGAAGCCTTCCCTGACTTCTGAGGTAGAAGAGCTTGCCCCCCTCTGGGCAGAGGGAGAAGCTTTTTTGTAGTTCTATTCCCACTCTGCCTTGTGCCGTATTTGTGTGCTAATCTGTTCTCCCCCATCTCACACCTATCAGTCACAACCTTGGCTACATGATCTGTTCAATTACACTATCCCTCTTGGCTCTCAGTGCGGTTACCTAGTGTAATGTTGTTCAATTAATGTATCCACTTCATTGGCATATGGGATAATATGATGGAAATATTGCATGTCAAAATGCATTTAAAACTGGACAATGATATCAAAATGTAAAGGTATCATTAGTATGAACATCCTTAATCTTTTAGCTGCAAAATAGAGTTAAAAATCATTAGATGCCAGCAGGTAGAAGACAGCCCTACGGGGAGCATGAGACATGATGATCTCCAGCTGGGAAATGTCTGCCCAGTCTTGGTTTCCGCAGTCATTCATAAAAGAGCTGGATTTTGTGAGTGGAGCACAAACGTCATTGCTTGTGGTGCCACCTGGTGGTAGTACATAAATTCTGCAGCTAGGACCAGGTGACCTGACTGTCGGACAGGCTTGAAGGATATGGACAGCAGATCTCAGGGAGGTATGTACCCTCTCTAAAGGCAGGGAATACACACCTAAGACTCAGCTCAGCTCTGCCAGCCACTCTATGAACTGAACATAGACCCCCTCCTCCATTTTCACACTGCCACAGCATCTCACCCACCTCTCCTACCCTCGCCATGATGAACTGACCTCTGGTTACGACTTTGGAAGAACTGGCATATGGAGGCATCTGGAACAAATAGGGCAGATGAAACCATTTTGGAGTCTCAGGCATTGGCTGCTCTTCCCATGATGGCTCGTATTCTATTAGAGGGAAGCAGAATGTGTTGGTGATCTCTAGGAGGAGACTGAGGCTTGGGGAAGGGTCTGTTGGTGTAAACTGAAGCTAATTCAGCCAAAGTGGATGACAGTGAGGGGATGAGGGCAGGGTCCACTGAAAGAAGCAGAACAGGAGCTGGGTTGGGGGCTTCCCTGGAGGAAATACTGGTTCCCCTAGTCCAGTCAACATTCCCTGCAAAATCAGCAGAGGTCATTGGGATTCTAGGCTGTTAAATTACTGTTGCATATATGTGGGGAACTCGGTGGAGGAAAGGAGAAAGGCAGGATTCCAGAGAAATAAAGGATCAGGTCATAGAGTAATAAGATTGGCCTATAAGTGTGGCTGGGTAAATTAGTGTCTTTCCTTTATTTCTCATGGGACAATTACATAGGATAGTTATGTCACTTTGCTTCCAATTTCCTCCATCTCAGAGCGTCTCCTCAATCTCAAGCCCCCACTCCCCTCATGCCCTGGGTAGGATGGACAATACAAAGAGAGTGCCTATCTTGTTCCTTACGTCCATGTTGGGTAGAAAATTCTGTGGACCATGAAGTTAATTGACTACGAGGTTTCATATGGATCTCAACCATTATGTGGCTTATATGGCAACAGTGTCAGAGTCTAGGGGACTGTTACAGTTAGATGACTGTCCCAGTCTTCCCATTTTCTGGGTAGTCTGAGCCTCCAATCAGCAGAGGAACCTACCACTGTGGACATTCAGGGTGACTTTCTGGGTCTTCCCCCTGTCTGTGTTCCTGCCCGCTCCACAGGCATAGACTCCGCTGTCACTTTCGGTCAGCTGTGTTACCTCCACTAGGAACAGATTCTTGCGTGGGTATTGCTTCAGAGTGACTCGGCCCTTGTATTCCACCTTGATGAAGTTGGTGGTAGATACCACAGTACCACATGTTCCAGATTCAACCATCTCCCGGCACAGATACATCCTCACATGCATTTCAGGAAGTGGGCACTTGATGGTAACTGATCCGCCCAGCTCTCCCTCTACCTTTACTTCTGGGAGGATCCTCAGGGCCCCTGATACTGCAGGGAGAAGAGATTAATGCAGAGGGAGCCCCATCTCTAGCTATATCCCAGCCCCATCCATTTCCCAGCTCCAGCTCTCTCGCCAACCATAGCCCAAGACCCAGCCTAATCTCACATTCATCCCCAGATCTAGCCCTGTCCCCATTATTAGCCTTGCCTCAGCCTATCCTTAGCCACAGCCTTATCCTCATTTCTTTTTTCTTTTTCTTTTCTTTCTTTTCTTCTTTCTTTCTTTCTCTCTCTCTTTCTTTCTTTTCCTTCCTTCCTTCCTTCCTTCCTTCCTTCCTTCCTTCCTTCCTTCCTCTCTTTCTTTTCTTTTCCCCTCCCTTCCTCCCTCCTTCCCTCTCTCTCTCTTTCTTCTCTCTCTCTCTCTCTCTCTCCCTCCCTCCCTCTTATAGGATCTCACTCTGTCACCCAGGCTGGAGAGCAGTGGTGTGATCATGACTCACTACAGCCTCAACCTCCTGGGCTCAAGCAATCCTCCCAACTCAGCCTCCCAAGTAGCAGGGACTACAGGTGCATGCTGCCATGCCTGGCTAATTTTTGTCTTTTTTGTAGAGATGGGGTTTTCATTATGTTGCCCAAGCTGGTCTCGAACTCATGGCCTCAAGTGATCTGCCTGCCTTGGCCTCCCAAAATGCTGGGATTGAGCCACTGTGCCCGACCCTTATTCTCATTTCTACCCTTAGTCTCAACTTCAGCCTCGTCCCATCCCCCACCCTACCCACAACCTCAGGCCAGCTCTATGTTCACCCCCAATCCTATGCCCTAGTGTTACCTTAATTTAACCCTCAACTGTGGCCTCACCACCAAACCCAAACCCATAAGGAGCCAGACACGAAACCCTTGAGATGATAATCAAAAGTATATCTCCCACTCCAAGGAGACATAATATGCCTCAGGTGACCCCAAACAGCATACAGCCCCCATGTGACCTCAGCGTGGTGCTGGCAGCATGGTGCGGTTGTGTTGCAACAGGTTTTCCTTTCCAGTTTGGTTTCGCTCAGCCGCATCCATCCAGCCATTCGTCTGCAGCTCTATTTATTAAATCATTCAACAAGCGTTTATTGAATGTCTTTCCTGTGACAGTAAACCAGCCGGCATTCCTCCCTCAGGAACAAATCATTTAGTGAGTGATGCCAATCAATGGCCAGTGAGCAGTGTAATACATCCCATGAGAGAGATCGCACGGGGTTCCCTGGAAGGAGCGAACCCGGGCACCTGATGTAGGCTGTTGCAGGGGGTGGTGTGGTTGGAGGAAGGCTTTCTGGAATAAGCGATGTCTGAGTTGTGACCTGAAGGAATGGGTATGGAGGGCAACTGAGAGTGACGATGCTCATCACAGAGGCGGGGGACATAGAAGGGGAATTGAGGGTGTGTGTGCATGTGTGCATAGGTGTGCACACACTGTATGTGTGATGGGGAGGGATAAAAGATATGGTTCTTGAGTCCCTGACATCATAAAGCTTATGCTTTGAGTGAGAGAGGTCAGGTCTAATGCACTTGAGTCAGCTGCAGAAGAGGGTAAGGCCATGCCTGAGTAATTGCCAACTAAGTGGATCCCGTAAGTGTCTGCATATTTCTGGGAAGAAAGTTCATAGGGTAAAGCGTGTGCGTGTGTGGTGAGGTGGGGCTGGAAGGCTGAAGTGGAAGAGAAGAGAGTCTTCCAAACAGCCAGAACAGTCCCCTAAAAGACCAGGATATGAGAGAGAACATAGCATGTCCATGGGCGGAGAGAAGTTTGCAAACATACTGAGATTTATCCACAGGGCATGCATTAAGAAGAGCACTAGGGAGTTTAGTCAAATGAGAGTCAGGGGAAGCTTAGGAAACAGGTGGGGATTGAGACTTTGGGATAAAGACATGCTGGGCAAAGGGAAGAATTCTGACAATGGTAAAGAGGTAAAAACAATTGTGGGAGCAGAAAAGGGGGTTGGGAAGGGTGGGGAGGGTTAGAGAGGGAGGATGTACGGGAGCATGTTGAGATCTAAAAGTGTAGCTGACATAAATGTGGTAAAGACTACAGAAGAGGGTAAGGCCATGTCTGATTAATAGCCAACTAAGGCAGATGGACCAGCCAAAAACATGAACTCTGACATGGAAACCCGCACATGAAAAACCCAGCACAGCTTTAAACCCACTGGAAATCGAGTCATGAGGTAGCTTCACGACTAGACATTGCAATGGAAAGGTGACCTGTCACAAAGTGTCAATCAACAGACAAAGATACAATCAAAGGGAGGTCTGGAGGAATCACCTTTTGCATCCAGACAGCCCCCACCTATGTGGGAAGCTGAACGCCGAGGGTGGAAGCACATGGAAGTGTTTGAATGAGACTAACCCAGCCAGGAAGGAGGTGTGAATACCACTTTCCCCAGAGCAAGATGGTATAAAATGGGCAGGGGGAGGATAGCAGAAATGGGGTCATCACTTATGTAGCAACCTCCAGCAGCCTCAGGCTACCCAGGGTTGAGCTTTCGGTAAATCCCTGGCTTGCCTGTTCAGCTCCTTGTGCAGACCCTGGATGGATGAAGTGCAAGGAAAGCTACTGGCTAGGCTGAGCTCTGGTCCACAAGGAAGCAGTAGCTGGTGATGTGAAAATGACCAGACCCCAAGAAAAAGAAACTAGTTCTCCTCAAGTTCATGGTAGCTTCTAACCTATTCCCAAGACTTAGTAAAGCAGATTTTGAAAACAGAGAAAAGACAGATAGAAGCTACTGGTTTAGGCATCTAAAGTAGCACAGTGTGCATGAGACTCATCTGAGGAGAATGGCTACAATGCAGACGACCTGATCCTGTGCTTGGGAATGGTGATTACATGTATCTGTGGCATGGTCTAGAAATATGTGTTTTTCAACAAGTGTCCCAGGTGCCCTTGCATTTCTGCAATCCTGGGCTATATAACATTTACAAATGATTCCGGAGAAGAAAAGGAGGAATTGGAGAAGGCTTCGAAAGGAACCAACCTGTTCAATAGTAATATTTTTGAGAGGCTGCTAAGTGACATTAATCTCTAAATTGGTGACTTGATTTTCAGTGGTTATGATAGGGAAGAGGGAGAAATGTGGCTTAAGAATCACTCTCAATATATAAGTGGATGTAAATACATGATTGGAAAATGGGAAAACATTTTCACCATACAAAATAAGGTCAAGGTTCATAGGTCCTTGGTGGCTGGGGAGCTCTGGAGAGGGACTCTGGCACCCACTTAGGGGTGATTTTCCAGTGGAAGTGCAAATGAGGACCTAGTCAACTCAAATCAGAGCAGATCTCAGGAAGAGGAGAGTTGGCCTGTGATTTTTATGTTTATCAAAAGGGGCATGGATTTTTTTTAAAAGGATGAGAAACATCCCACTCAGCTTCTTATTTCCAAATACAGTAGCCTGGGTGTGTCCAGGCCTACAGCCTGTCACAACGAATGAAGTGTCCATCTCCTTTCAAAGGCCAGCCCCTGCACCTGTATCCTGAGTCCATCATTCACATAGCTTTTAGTTCTTCTTGTCTGCAATGATCCTGTTTCTTTCTCTGGCTATTGGAGAAAAATGGCCTTCTCATCTAGCATTGCCATAGCTTACACACATGTCCTGCTATTGCCCATCTTTTCTTCTTCTTCTTTTTTTAAGACAGGGTCTTTCTCTGTCGCCCAGGCTGGAGTGCAGTGGTGCAATCTTGGCTCACTGCAGTCTCCACTTCCTGGGCTCAATTGAGGCTCCCACTTCAGCCTCCTGAGTAGATGGATGGGATTACAGCACCTGCCACCACACGTGGCTAAATTTTTGGTAGAGATGGGCTTTCACCATGTTGCCCAGGCTGGTCTTGAATCCCAGCTCAAATGATCCATCCACCTCGGCCTCCCAAAGTGTTGGGATTGCAGGCATGAGCCTCCGTGCCTGGCTTTGCCCATCTTTAAAAACTCCCCAGTTGACCTTTGCCTTCCCTTCACCTGCCAACACACCTCTTTATTCTCTTTATCAAACCAGTCATCAAATTTGCTAAATCAGATTCACTTCCACACCTCCCAATTTCTCTTCAATCCACTCCTATCAGAATTTCATGTCCAGTGTTCCGCTGAAACTGCTCTTGTCAAGTCACTGAAGTTCTCCTGTTGCCACATGTAATGGTTGCCTCTTTATCTTTGTTTCCCCTCATCCTCTCAGCAGCGGTTGACAGAATGGAGCCGGCCCATCTTGAAACACACCCTTGGTGTGGCTTCCCCAGTGCACACCCTCAGTGGTGGCTCCCTGTCAACCTGCGTTCTTCCTCTCCTTCTCTCCCACCTCTCCATACTGGGCTAGCCTAGGGCCTGTACCTTGCACCTGTTCTTTTCTCTGTCCTCCCTCCCTCTCTGCCCTCACTCGCTCATTGACTCCCATGGCTTTTATGGCTAATGCTATAGATTCCATCAAAACATGATCTCCAGTTTTACCTCTGAGCTCCAGACTTGCCTCTGACGTCTCCACTCGGACCCTACTTGAATGTGTACGATATATGCCAAACTTAGGACAGCCAAGAAAGAACTGATTTCTCTTCCAAAACCCTCACATAGTCTTCCAATGATCCCATCATCCACCCAACTGCTGAAGCCTAGAACTCATCTTCATGTCAAAGAATAAAGAATAAATTTTAAGTGTGTGTGTGTGTGTGTGTGTGCGCGCGCACGTGCGCTGGGTCCCAGCATCAAATGTATGTATGTATATATGTTTGTATGTATGTATGTGTGTATGTATGTAGTATTGGTCAAGGTAAAAAGGTTTGAAAGCTCACACTGCATGACACTGCCTTGCTTTATTAAAGAGCTCTAGACAGGGCTCCAGGCAAAGTGGCCTACAGTTTGTGCCTCATGTACTAGGCCCTAGGGAGGCCCACCCCAGCATTTGCAGGACCTGGGGTAGGAGTACAAATTAAGGCCCAAATACCTTATATCTGAATATTTTTAAGTTATAAATCAAGTGAATGAACTGTTAAATAAAATTCGCTTTACTTACCTAGCTTGACAAATGCACCCTCTTTGGATGTTCACTCTACTCCGTGGCCATCAGGGAAAACAACCCCAAGCTTCCTGCCCCCAGCCTCTGCCCACCTTCCTTCTCATCCCTTCCTCCTGCCCACAGCACAGGGGTCCTGGTATATACATAGTAGATACCTCAGCTTGCAAGTACAGTCTTTGTCCACTCCCCACCTTCTTCCCAAATAGCCACCTGTGGCCACCTTTTATAGGCCAGGGGTCAATCTCAAGAGGAAGACCCAGGATAGAAGCTTGCACCATCATTGAAAAGGGGCCCACAGTCATGTGGACAGGGAATTCTAGTTCTAAAAGAGAGTTTGGGTAGGGCATGCTGGCTGGGGCCTGTAATCCCAGCACTTTGGGAGGCTGAGGCAGGCTGATCACTTGAGTCCAGGAGTTTGAGACCAGCCTGGGCAACATGGTGAGACCCCATCTCTATTAAAAATACAAAAATTAGCCAAGAGTGGTGGCATGTGCCTGTAGTCCCAGCTACTCAGAAGGCTGAGGTGGGAGGATCACTTGAGTCTGGGAAGTTGAGGTTACAGTGAGCCGTGATTGCACCACTGCATTCCAGCCTGGGTGACAGAAGTGAGATCCTGTCTCAAAAAAGTGGGGTTGGGTGTGGGCTTGGGGCGTATGCATCTCCCTGGCCTGTGAACTCCTCACCCTGTGGGCATGGGCATGACTGGAGGAGGGTGGGGCCCATAGTGAGATCCCTTTTGGCCCACCTAGAATGGGGGTACTTCTCAGGACAGACTGAAGTCGTGCAATTTGAGGATCCTTCATGCCTTTAGGTCTTCCACTCCCCACCAAATCCCCTCTTCCTCCTCAGGCCTAAGTTTAGTTAACCATCCACCATACCCTCCTATGTCCTACGGCCTCTCACAGTGTTTGATGTTTCATGTAAACTCCATTCCACTGGACTTTTAGAGATTTTCAATCTTCAGCTCAACAAATACCTGCGTTTCTTTCATACTCAAGACATCGCAAAGAAAGCAGACATCAATAGGAAGCCATTTCAACCCACAAGGAACTTGTCACTGAATAAACCAAATTAAGATGGACACACATTAAACATAATACAAGGCAGCTATTGGGCTCAGAAGAGGGGCCTCAGGAATGTCTACAAGAAGGAGGTGAAGTTTGAGATGAACTTTGAAGAACCCATAAAAAGTGAAGGTGGCCAGGTGTGGTGGCTCAAGCCTGTAATCCCAGCACACTGGGAGGTCAAGATGGGTGGATCATCTGAGGTCAGGAGTTCAAGACCAGCCTGGCCAACATGGTGAAACCCCGTCTCTACTAAAAATACAAAATTTAGCCAGGCACGATGGCGCACACCTGTAATCCAGCTACTTGGGAAGCTGAGGCAGGAGAATCGCTTGAACCCAGGAGGCGGAGGTTGCAGTGTGACAAGATCATGCCACTGCACTCCAGCTGGGGCGACAGAGAGAGACTCTGTCTCAAAAAAAAAAAAAAAAAAAAAGAATGGTGAAGGTGAGAGGAAGGGTGTTCCTGGTCCTGGCAGAAGGCACAGCATGGGCAAGGGCATGGTGGCAGGAGTGTATGGCTTGTGTTCAAGGAGAAGTCCTATTGGCTGGAGGTTAAGAAAGTGTTGGGGAGTGTGGTAGGCTCAGAGTATGAAAGGGGGGTACAGGGAGGAGTGTACATTGACTTCAGTAGGCAGTAGAAGTCATTAGAGGTTCTTGGGAGAGGTAATCCTGTGATTAGAAGTCAAGTTTAGGAAAATTAATCTGGTGCTGCAGGCATCCTGAGTTAGAAGAAGTGGGAAAGATAGTTAAGAGGGGGTTGTGTGTTCTTTTCCTGTTCATTTCCTCTGTTACCTTCCTAATGTCAATTGCTGCTGCTTCTTATCCCGGTAGATACGGATCTAGAAACTGCACGATTTGGCCATTGATTGGATCAAGGTCTGAATGAGGATAAATCGGAAGAGGTGGTAATTAGCCATTCTGGCATTTTGTGGCTGATGATCAGAGATACTTCAGACAGGTGAAATAGCTGGTTCGGATGGTGATCAATGAGGAGTTTGAGGTAAGGTTAGGTGGGCTACATTTCAAATCTCAGTGGAATATTGAAGTAGGGGTTGCCCAGGAGACAGCTGTAAATTGAGATATGGAATTCAGGAAATAGATTAGAGCTACTGAATGGATTACAGAGTTTTCATTTAGGGTTGAAAGCTGGAAATTCAGGACTGAAAAAGATCTATAGAAAGAGCATAGAGGTAAGAAGAAAGAAGTATGGAGACACTTGCTTCAAGATCCCATAATAATACGCAATACGTTTAGGAGAGATGACATCTTCAACTCTTAAGAGTTAACACCTGGCTGGGCACAGTGGCTCACACCTGTAATACCAGAGATTTGTGAAGCTGAGCCAGGAGGATCACTTAAGGCCAGAAGTTCAAGACCATCCTGGGCAACATAGCAAGACCCCAACTCTACAAAAAAATTAAAAATTAGCTGGGCATGGTGGCATGCACTTGTAGTCCTAGCTACTAGAGAGTCTGGGGTGACAAGATCACTCGAGCCCAGGAGTATGAGACTGCAGTTAGCTGTGATCACACCACTGCACTCCAGCCTGGGTGACAGAGTTAACACCTGACTGAAACAGGAGAGTGTCTGGAGTGGAGAAAGGAGCATTAGCAGAGCCCTGGGAATGAGTGAGGAGGGCATCCAACACCTCACGTGGCCTCCATTCTTGTCCTACCCTAGGTGTTGGTTTGCAACTGAATCCATCCAGAAACATCAGAGCTAGAGCTACCAGGCAACTCTTCTACTTGTGGCCAATTCAAACCTCATTCAGAGGTCTGAAGTGTTTCCCCATAGTACTTACCTGGCAGGAAGTAAAGTGACCAAAGCCAGAGGTCCATTGTTCCTTCTAGAGTGCAAGATCCACCCAAGAGCCCCTAGAGAGGGGGATGGAGACACGCTGCTTACTCAGGAAGCCTTCACAATCTGGAGCTAGAAAGAGATTTCTAGCCCCCACGAGGAACAAAGCTTCACGATGAGGAAATGACAACCTCCCTTGTTTGCTAACTAGTCTTAGGCTAAAAAGAGAGTGCTGACAAACCGCAGAGGAAGTCAGGAGCTGAGAAAACATGTTATGTGGAGTAAGAAAGGGTCACCCTGCTCAAAAGGCATCTAGGAAGTTCCTCCAGACTATTAGCAGATATTCCTTTGTCTTGGTGCTTTTTCTTAGCAGGGCCTCCCGTGCTTTCCTTATACTCATTGGTTTCCGAGCTGGGGTCATTTGCTTTCATTTGGCCTTCAGGATAAAAGAGCCTTATCACCAATTTTCCCCACCTGAGAAAGGCTGTATGGGCAGATGCTTGGGCCTGAAGTCAGAAGATGCTGACTGTAGTCCTTACCAGTCACCAGTTAACTCATCTTTACAAACGTTTTTGAGCACCTACTATGTGGGGATACTAACTATGGACTTTGAGCAATCCATTACTTTTCTCTGAGCCTCAATTTCTTCAATCTAGGAAATAAATGAAGCTGGGACTAGATGGTCCCTGGCATTCCCTCCTGCAGAACATAGTTCCTGGGGACTTTACCATAGCTCCGCAGCACCTCAGCCATCCCTCACCCTTCGTCTCCCCCAACTGTCCCCACAAGGTGCTGCCCTGTGGCAAGGGCTCAGGCCTCTGTCCAGTGACCACCAGGGCAATACAAGAACTGGGCTATGACAGGTCATCCAGCCACTTTGCCTGAAGTCACGGCAGCCTGGTAGAGCCCTCCTCCAGGACCCCAAGGGCCCAAGGGTAAGGCCCATGACTGATGGAGAGAGATGCTGAGGCCACAGGGCATCTTGGGAAGAGTTTTGGATGCAAGTCAGAAGACCTCAGGTCTTGTCCTGCCTTGGCACTTTCTAGCTTTGGGCAAATTTCCCTGGGCCTCGGTTTTTTCCTTGATAAAGTAGGGATTGCCACTGCCCTGCCCACCTCACATAGCTTTTCTGAGGCCCAGCAGAACCCACAGGCATGGAAGTGGTTTAAGCAGCCTTCATTGTGAGCTGCGCAGGGGTGTTACTTATAAGGGCATTCCCAGGGCTCTGTTTCTGGAAGTTTCATCCCTGGAGGTCAGTTCCCAGGGCCCAACCTCAGGTGCAAGGACCTCTTGTGCCCCTGGAGGATCCAGGTTATTCTCATACTGTTTCTGGGGAGGGTGTGACTGACAGAGCCGATTCCACAGTGGTCATGTAAGCCACTCCCTGCTCGCCCCCACACAGCAGACTTGTCACATGTTCTCCAAAACAACAACATCCGCGGTGGAAGTTGAATGTGAGGCTCAGAGCAGGTGCAGAGGAAGTGTGTGTGGGGGCGGGCAGCATGCCCTGCCCCATCCCTATCTGAGTCTCCCCTGGCCCAGAGCAGCTGTGGTTGTGATGTCCTCCAGCCCCAAAATGGGCCAAGATGGCCGAGGGCAGCCTCGGGCCTCTGCTTAGTGAGTGCCAGAGCTCCGAGCTGGGATCAGTCCCACTCTGCCCTACTTAGTGGGCTCTTCCCAATGCCCCAGAGCTGTCACACAGCTGGGCTTCACCCTGCACTGGGCTCGAGGCCTGGGGCTGTCTTGGAGAGACAGAGAAGGAGAATATGAATGAATGGACATGATGTGTGTGGGGGCAAGAGTGTGTGAGTATGAATATATGTGTGAATGTGTGAGTGTGTGGTGTGTGTTGTATGACTGATGTTTGAGCGTGTGAAGTATGGGTGGTATGTGACTGAGGTGTGGTGTGTGAGGGTGCAATGTGTGTTGTGTGGTGTGTGTGTGTGGTGTGTCTATAGTGTGTGTGTAGTGAGAGTGTGAACATGTAGTGGGTGGCTAAGAGTGTGTGAGTGTATTATGCGTAGCGTGTGTGAATGTTTGATGTGTGGCAGTAAGTGTGTGATGTGTGTAGTGTGTGAGTGTGCAAATGTATGATGTGTGGCTATGAGTGTGTATGTGCTGTGTAGTGTGTGTGAATGTAGGATGTGTGGCTGTGTGTGATGTGTGTAGTGTGTGTGTGTGAATATGTGGTGTGTGGCTCTATGTGAGTGTGTCCTGTGGAGTGTGTGTGTACAGTATGTGAGTCTGTGAATGTGTGGTATGTGGCTGTGAGTGTGTGATGTGTGTAGTGTGTGTGAATGTGTGGTGTGTGGCTATGAGTGTGTGAATGTGGTATGTGTAGTGTGTCTGTGTGAATGTATGATGTGTGGCGGTGAGTGTGTGATGTGTGGTGTGTGAGTGTGTGAATGTATGATGTGTGGCTTAGTGTGTATGTGTTGTGTAATGTGTGTGTGAATGTAGGATGTGTGGCTGTGAGTGTGTGATGTGTGTAGTGTGTGTATGAACGTGTGGTGTGTGGCTGTGAGTGTGTGAGTGTGCCCTGTGCATAGTATGTGCGTGTGTGAATGTTTGGTATGTGGCTATGAGTGTGCGCTGTTTGTAGTGTGTGTGAATGTGTGATGTGTAGCTATGAGTGTGCTGTGTGGAGTGTGTGAGTGTGAATGTGTGGTGTGTGGCTGAGTGTGTGTGTGTGGTGTGTGGCTAAGTGTATGAGTGTGAGTGTGTGGTGTGTGGCTATGAGTATGTGAGTGTTAGTGCTGTGTGCTGTGTGTGAGTGTGAATGTGGTGTGTGGCTGAGTGTGTGAGTGTGTGCCATGTGGAGTGTGTGTGTGTGTGTGAATGTGATACATCAGCAAAAACTTACTAATGTCCCTGTATTTAGGACAAAGATTTTTGGCTCTAGTGTGGCTATGAGTACGAGTGTGCACTGTGTGTTGTATGTAAGTTTGAATGTGTGGTGTGTGGCTATGAGTGTGTGTGAATGTGTGGTGTGTGGCTGTGTGTGTGCTCTGTGGAGTGTGTGTGGTGTGTGACTATGAGTGTGTATGAATGTGTGGTGTGTGGCTATAAGTGTGTGTGTGTTCTGTGGAGTGAGTGTGTGGTGTGTGGTTATGAGTGTGTGTAAATGTGTGGTATGTGGCTATGAGTGTGTGTGTGTTCTGTGGAGTGTGTGAGTGTGTATGTGCTCTGTGGAGCATGTGATTGTGTGGTGCGTGGTTATGTGTATGTAAATGTGTGGTGTGTGGCTGTGTGTGTGTGCTCTGTGTTGTGTGTGTGGTATGTGGTTATGAGTGTGTGTCAGTGTGTGGTGTGTGGCTATGAGTGTGTGTGTGCACTGTCTAGTGTGTGAGTGTGTGGTATGTGGTTATGTGTGTGTGTGTGGTGTCTGGTTGAATGTATGTGGTGTGTGGCTATGAGTGTGTGTGTGCTCTGTCTAGTGTGTGTGTGGTGTGTGGTTGTGTGTGTGTGTGTGTGGTGTCTGGTTGAATGTATGTGGTGTGTGGCTATGAGTGTGTGTGCTCTGTCTAGTGTGTGAGTGTGTGGTGTGTGGCTATGTGTGTGTGTGTGGTGTCTGGTTGAATGTATGTGGTGTGTGGCTATGAGTGTGTGTGTGCTCTGTCTAGTGTGTGAGTGTGTGGTGTGTGGCTATGTGTGTTTGTGGTGTCTGGTTGAATGTATGTGGTGTGTGGCTATGAGTGTGTGTGTGCTCTGTCTAGTGTGTGAGTCTGTGGTGTGTGGTTATGTGTGTGTGTGTGTGGGGTGTCTGGTTGTATGTGGTGTGTGGCTATGAGTGTGTGTGTGCTCTGTCTAGTGTGTGTGTGTGGTGTGTGGCTATGAGTATGTGTGTGCTGTCTAGTGTGTGAGTGTGTGGTGTGTGGTTATGTGTGTGTGTGGTGTGTGTCCATGAGTGTGTGTGTGCTCTGTGTAGTGTGTGTGTGGTGTCTGGTTGAGTGTGTGTGTGGTGAGTATGAGTGTGTGTGTCCTCTGTGGAGTGTGTGTGGTGTGTGGCTATGAGTGTGTGTGTGTGCACTGTCTAGTGTGTGAGTGTGTGGTGTGTGGCTATGAGTGAGTGTGTGCACTGCCTAGAGTGTGAGTGTGTGGTGTGTGGTTATGTGTGTGTGTGTGTGCTATGTGTCCATGAGTGTGTGTGTGCTCTGTGGAGTGTGTGTGGTGTCTGGTTGAGTGTGTGTGGTGTGTGGCTATGAGTGTGTGTGCTCTGTCTAGTGTGTGAGTGTGTGGTGTGTGGTTATGTGTGTGTGGTGTCTGGTTGAATGTATGTGGTGTGTGGCTATGAGTGTGTGTGTGCTCTGTCTAGTGTGTGTGTGGTGTGTGGTTTGTGTGTGTGTGTGGTGTCTGGTTGAATGTATGTGGTGTGTGGCTATGAGTGTGTGTGCTCTGTCTAGTGTGTGAGTGTGTGGTGTGTGGTTATGTGTGTGTGGTGTCTGGTTGAATGTATGTGGTGTGTGGCTATGAGTGTGTGTGTGTTCTGTCTAGTGTGTGAGTGTGTGGTGTGTGGCTATGTGTGTGTGTGGTGTCTGGTTGAATGTATGTGGTGTGTGGCTATGAGTGTGTGTGTGCTCTGTCTAGTGTGTGAGTGTGTGGTGTGTGGTTGTGTGTGTGTGTGGTGTCTGGTTGTATGTGGTGTGTGGCTGAGTGTGTGTGTGCTCTGTCTAGTGTGTGTGTGTGGTGTGTGGCTATGAGTATGTGTGTGCTGTCTAGTGTGTGAGTGTGTGGTGTGTGGTTATGTGTGTGTGTGGTGTGTCCATGAGTGTGTGTGTGCTCTGTGTAGTGTGTGTGTGGTGTCTGGTTGAGTGTGTGTGTGGTGAGTATGAGTGTGTGTGTCCTCTGTGGAGTGTGTGTGGTGTGTGGCTACAAGTGTGTGTGTGTGCACTGTCTAGTGTGTGAGTGTGTGGTGTGTGGCTATGAGTGTGTGTGTGTGCACTGCCTAGAGTGTGAGTGTGTGGTGTGTGGTTATGTGTGTGTGTGTACTATGTGTCCATGAGTGTGTGTGTGCTCTGTGGAGTGTGTGTGGTGTCTGGTTGAGTGTGTGTGGTGTGTGGCTATGAGTGTGTGTGCTCTGTGGAGTGTGTGGTATGTGGCTATGAGTGTGTGTGTGCATTGTCTAGTGTGTGGTGTCTGGTTATGTGTGTGTGGTGTGTGTCCATGAGTGTGCTCTGTGGAGTGT